AAAAAAAAAAAAAAAAAAAAAAAAAAAAAAAAAAAAAAAAAAAACAATTTTTTTTTCTCGTATAATTATTTTAAAATTTTCATTTTTAATATAATCTTTATTAAAAATCGTAAAAAAAATGATTAATTATACTCTCAAATTAATTAATTTATTTTTTAATAAAGTAAAAAAAAACATTTATATTAAGTGAGGTGAAGTGAGGAATTGGGCGGGGACAAGGATGGAGAATATTGTCCCCGTCCTGACCCTATTATCTAACGGGGAAAAAATTGAAGGGCAAATTCGTGAATTAATTTTTTTCTTCCGTATTCTTGGTCTGCACGAATTTCGTTCTACACATGATTAGTATGTTATGTGTGTATATATATGTTATAAGGGTTAGGATCCAGTACGATAATAAGGATAGAAAGGGAGACATGTGGAACGATCGGGAGCGTTCAATGAGAAGATAGTGATGTAAATGATGGAGTGTGGTGCAACAGTGGGGACAAAAAGTTTATTATCTTATACGTTTTTTAGTCATCGTATCCTCATGATCACTCTCATTCAGATGTGGGTTACGATTCATTCATGTACTCATTTACTCGAGTGTTATATACAACATGTGAAATTAGAGAATCGAACATTTGACCTTCTAGTTGAGAGTATATACTTTAACCAGTCGAGTTTTAGACCGAGCATAAAGCCTATCTAAACTCATCTAGTAGACATAAAATAAAATGTCACATTCGAACTTTACAACTTGACCATAGGTTATTTAAAAACAACCAACTTTATTTTAAAATAATAACAATACTCTTACGTACTCAATCATAGGTTATTTAAATAATAATAATAATACACGTGTCAAAGATTATAACTCTAATCTATATAAGTTTCGATTACTTACCTAAACAAAAAGTGACCTAAATTTGTCTCCAAATGATGGGACCATTCATATTCACTAGGGATTCGTTCATCACGATAAGGGCATGAACTCATAGTAGCATGTCAACTTAATCAACGGGTTCGAAACCCAAAAGCTAGCCCAAGCCCCACGCACGCTTAAATCAAGCTCAGTCTAGAATTAAAAGCTTAATTGGTTCGACATGGACCACCTCATTTATTCATTAGATTATATACGGACCGACCTTGATTCATGACCTATTTTAATTAATAATTATTTTTTTAAAAAAATATTATTAATTATTACTTTTATAATGGAAATCAAAAGAGGAAATTGTCTTGTCCCATAAAACCGCACATATATGACGTACCTTCCATCAAATCAATAAAAACTTCCTTTATGGTAATTAAAACTTACTTTATGGCTAATTTATTGCCTTTTTTTTTTTACTATTTTTAATTAATAAAAAATTAATTTATATTTATATATTTATTGGTCGTGTTATTAATGATTTAAATACGACACCTTACACCACAATGGTTCCTAGACTATTAGAATTTAGAATAAACATCTAAATTTATCAGTGTTTTCTTAATACAGCTCATTGTATAAATTTTTGGATATATAGTCGATTATGTATATTAAGGGTCCCATACGTTACGTTCGTTGACAATTTACTTAATTTTAATGAAGAATTAGATGAAGAACATATCTATAATTGAAGCTACTTTAGGTTAGAAGAGTTCTTGGGAGTTCAAAGGAAATAGAATGGATTTTGAGATTGAGAAAAGAAAGCGACGAAAGGGGAAAAAGGGTGAAAGATAGAGAGATTAGATTTGGAGGAAAGTGGGAAGAAAAAGCAAAAGAGAAGCCGTTTGATCCAACACGTCCACCTCTTGGGGATTGCACGAAACGCGGGCTTCGTCTCGTGGCGTTGACGATTCATTTAATCCCTGCTAATTCTTCTTTCTATAAACCGCACTTTTTCATCGTTTCCTTCGTTTTCTCCCTCTGTTTTCTGAAATTTTCTACTCGTTGGTGCACTTTCTCCATCAAACCCATGACTGGGAAAGAGATTCTCCACAAGATGAAGGTATTGTACTGTTCGTTCTCAAATGGGTTTAGTTCTTATCGCTTGATATGCTCATTTTGAGATTTAGGTTTCAATTCCCTTTCTGGGTTTTGTGATTCGTTTGAGTTCTTGATGATTTCTTTACGCATTTTGAGATCCTCTTGTGTGCCTGCTTGTGTCAATGGTTTTGATAGATTGAATTCGTGGACCGTCACTGACTTTTACAAACTGGGGTTGCCTGCTTGCTTTTCCCCTGTATTTCTATATGAATTACTTGAGTTGGGTTGCTTCCTCCTTGATTAATACATGTAGATTTCCCCCCATAGCTTCTGGTTTGATCCTTTAAGTTTGTTGTTTCTGTGTAGTTTTATAGGGGAAGGTTTAACTATCTGTACCATAGTTTTGTTTGCTTTTGAAAGGAGAACTCTCCTTGTGTTAAGATAGCAGTTTGGAGTGATGGGTTGATGGGTTTTCCTTCTTTCATTTTGACTCTTGAAGTATGCCATGGTCCATTATTTCTGTAGAATTGAAATCTTTAGACATTGATATGTGCCTCTCTGAGGGCCTATATCGGTTGGAGAAGGAACGAAACATTCCTTATAAGGGGTGAAAAACTCTCCCTAGTAGACATTGATATGTGCCTCTATGAGGTCCTATATCGGTTGTCGAGGAGAACAGGGGAACAAAACATTTCTTATAAGGGTATGAAAAACTCTATCTAGTAGACACGTTTTAAAACCATGAGGCTGATGGCGATACGTAACGGGCTAAAGCGGATAATATTTGCTAGTGGTGAGCTTGGGCTGTTATAGTCTCGGTTGGAGAGGAGAACGAAGCATTCCTTATTATAAGGGTGTGGAAACCTCTCTCTAGTAAACGCGTTTTAAAAACCTTGAGGGGTAGCTCGAAAGGGAAAACCCAAAAGGACAATATCAACTAGTGTTAGGCTTGAGCTGTTATAAATGGTATCAAAGCCAGACACCGGGCGGTGCGCTAGCGAGTACGTTGGGCCCCTATGGGGGGTGGATTATGAGATCTCATATCGGTTGGAGAGGGGAATGAAACATTTCTTATAAGAGTGTGAAAACTTCTCCCTAGTAGACATGTTTTAAAATCGTGAGGGAGGTTAACAATGATACGTAACGGGCCAAAACGGACAATATTTGCTAGTGATGGGCTTGGGCTGTTACAGCCTTCTCGAGGCAGGAAAATGAGAATGTTATCCCCTTTATTCCTTGCATTTTTGTGTTCGGTTTCCAGACGTTTAGGAAGTTAGAGAGAGCTTGGGTATACCTTGCACTAATTTGCTTATGTTAGGTGAATAAACTGTCATTCTTGCAGTTGATTAAGTATGTTTATAGTAGAAGGACATGAATTTACACCCAGAAAGCTTTCAAGACCAAAAAGTGAGAAATTTTAACCTGATAGATGGGTTCTAAACTAAGAATTTATACAGTACTTGCCATTGGTGTAAGTTGGATGAACTGTGATTTTATTTAGTAGCAAGCAGTAACAACAGACAGAATATGAATTCATTCGTTTCAGGAAAAAGTTGGGCTCGGCTCGTCCGATCCGGACTCAGGAAAAGGAAAGAGCAAGATGTCGAAGCATGTCACACATGGTTATCATTTGGTGAAAGGGAAATCGAACCATGCCATGGAAGATTACGTGGTTGCCGAGTTTAAGCAAGTTGATCATCATGAGCTGGGTTTATTTGCAATCTTCGATGGCCATTTGAGCAACTCTATCCCTGATTATTTACAGTCCCATCTATTTGCTAATATCATAAACGAGGTGCAATGGCTGTTCCCTTCTTCTATTCATTATGAATATAGTTAACATAGTTTTGTTAATCTATTTCTCTCTTATTGTATGTCCAAATAGCCTGATTTCTGGACGAACCCAACGGACGCAGTCAGGAAAGCATACGAGGCAACCGATGCTTACATTTTAGAGAAAGCTGTTGATTTTAGTCATGGGGGTTCGACTGCTGTTACAGCCATATTGATTGACTGTAAGAAACTAGTAGTCGGCAATGTGGGGGACTCCCGTGCAGTTATCTGTCGTAACGGTAAAGCCAGTCAATTATCAATCGATCACGAACCGAGCGTTGAAAGAAAAAGCATCGAGGACAGAGGTGGTTTCGTTTCAAACTTTCCTGGTAAGTATCAAGTGAAGTATCTTAAGCTGATATAAATCAAACATTCTCAATCCCAATGATAACATCCTTTGAACAAATCCAGGAGATGTTCCACGTGTCGACGGGCAGTTGGCGGTCGCAAGGGCGTTTGGTGATAGGAGCTTAAAGAAACATTTGAGTTCAGAGCCATACGTGGTTGTGGAGACGATCGACGACGAGACCGAATTGGTTATCTTAGCAAGCGACGGATTGTGGAAGGTTGGTGTAGACACTAGCAGCAGACCGAATAGATTGTCTGATATCTTTGCCTAATATCTGATAAAAAGTTTAATCCGCGATTTCAGGTTATGTCGAACGAGGAAGCCGTAGAGTCGATCAGGCATCTGAAAGACGCTCAAGCAGCTGCCAAACACCTGACAGAAGAGGCCCTCAAGAGGAAGAGCAGAGATGATATTTCTTGTATAGTTGTGAGATTTCTGTGAGTTCATTATGGATTTCTTTCTGGTTTTTATCCCAACAGCACAAAAATGGAAGAACATGAAGAACTAGTTCCAAACTTAGCTGTTTTGTCTTTGATGTGTGGAGAATCCAAATAAACTTAGCTGTGGATTATAGTGTATGGCTGTCTGTATATCAAATGCTTGGTTTTAACATCAGTTTTATGGCTCAACATGTTAAATTTTAGTGCAAAAACAAACAAACAGTTCACATTATTTGAAAACTAAGACAACTTCCAAGGCAAACATGGCATTAGTGACAGAAGAGAGGGAGCATAGTCTTCTTTTATCTGATATGCAGGTGTTTATAGCCAGAGCTTCCTGTAGGAGCCATCTGAATTCTGCTTCTTTGATCTTCCATTAGCTGCCTGCAATGGCCTTCCTTCGACTGCGACGCTGATCCTTTACGGTTCGTGCTTTCTCCTTGACACTCGGCCGAGCTCTTCCTTCGTCGTTCATTATGCCCTGCTAGCCTCCGACGACAGCTCCTTTTAGCTTCGTCGAATTCTGTCAACTCATGGAACCTAGCCAAACAGAGAGGGTTGAATGTTAACTGAAGTGTTCTTGTTTATATTGTTAAAGAGGATGAAATACCTGCTGCATTGCTGACAGAAACGTTGGCGAATTCCTGCGACCATGACGACGGCTGCCTTCGAGTGAAACTCGCAGACCTTGTGGCGACGGTGATACCTCTTTGCTTCACTCAAATCTGTTGTGCAGTTGTGTGCTTGGCAACTCGGGGAAGAGACGCCGCTACCAGATCGTCCACGGCCAGAAACTGATGTCCCTCTTTTCTTCTTCTCATTCTCGTAATAACCCAATGCAGTGCAAGCATTGGTACCACCATGGCCTCCTCCGCCAACGTCTTCCTCCTCTGTCTCGTATTCTAAATCGTCGTCGATCACACCTTCCTTATACGCCTTATCTTTAAGATTATGCTTGCCTTCATAGCTCTTTGCCTCCATTGCCAACTCGGGCAGCTCCGTGACGGTGGCGGTGGTGGTGATGGTGGTTGTGGAAATGGTTGGAGCAAAAATATAGGAACTCAGAAGTTACATCAAGAGACTAAAAAAGATGGGTAAGAAAAAGGTGGTGAGGACCACAGTTTTTAACTTTGTGAGTGCCAGTTTGGATGATCGAACCGTCGTGAATGACACAATGTCGAAATGAGGATTTGCATAATTCTTCTTATAACTAAGGAGGTATCAACCCATTACCTTCCGATTGAGAATACACGTCTTAACGAACTCAACTAAAAGACATTTTTAAATTTATTTTTGGGTTTGGAATTTAATTTCAATATTTAAAAATAAATAAATAAAATGAAAATTTCTTATTTTGTTTTTACCTTACTATGCATCTTTTGAGCATCCTTGCTTGAATGAAGTTTGCTTTTATCTCTACTTTGAAAGAAAAAAAATGATTCTTTCCTTTTTTTTAAATATATATATATATATATCATGAGAAATTTTATAAATTTTAGTTATAATTTTGGTTTAAATTTTTTAGGTCCTTAAAAAACTTGATTTGATCGGGTTTCTAGAAGAAAAAAACTTAAACAGAATAAATTTACTTAAAGATATAAAAAAATGATTTGGTTCAGCTCATCACGAACTCTATTCAAACCATAGTAATTGAAATAAAAAAACGAAGTCCATTTTGTGGCCTCACCCTTGTCCTCTTGAACTAATAGCTAAGTTTATTATTGATGACTATATATCGTTTAAGTCAATTTGGGTATAGCTTGATTCATTCGAGTATTATAACTTAGACCTAGTTGGAGGTTTGAATCATCACTTTTGCGGTTGAGTTATATGTCACGACTTCCTCTTTTGACGGTGGGACAACGATTGTTTGACACTTGTTCTAACACAGTGAAAACGTCAACAAAACGAAAATCGGATGTTGTGGACATTCATGTTTTTGGAAGAAAATGGTTTTAGAAAATGTGAACGAAAGCATGGGTTGATGTCAATTGCATTGAAAACATGTGGGCAAGAAAGGTTACAACACTTACATGCAACTATAGACAATACGCCCTAAACAAATATGGCCATAACATTGTATTCTTATTGACTTACCGAGAAAGTAAAAGGAAAAGTGGGTATGAAAGTGGGATTCGGTGGTAGCTGAAGATGACATCAAAGGGCGTGTTCGCCGCTTCCCCTGTAGGGTTTGAGATGGTATCGCCAAACCTATCCCTTTCTAACCAAGCTCGTAATAACCCATTACACACTTGAATGAATCAGAATAAAGTTCCCTTTTTTTTCTTCTTCTTCTTTTTGTCTCTTCCAATTCTTTTTTCTTTCAATTTGTCAACTTTGTCCTCTTTGTTTAGCAACACAAAGAATCTCTTCCTCCCTTTTGAAAGTTGAGTTTGAGAAAGACTTTTTCTTTGTTCTTATTGCAAATTTGTTTCTAAAGATTCGAACTCAATCTCCATCTCGATTGTCCGAGAGACATTGATTATGCTTCCACTTTTGATATCTAAGTTTCTCGAGTAATTAGAAATTGTGCTATACAGGTAAAACACTATTTTGTTCCCATCAAATATGTTGAACAAGTTGGGTAGAGTTTGAGACAAGCTTTAACCTCTGAACCAGACATTGTAACAACCAAAACCCACTACTAAAAGATATTGTCATCTTTCCTATCAAATATGCCGAACGAGCTGGATAGGTTTGGGACATGCTTTAACCTACGAACGAGACAACTATAACAACTCTTTTCCCTTTTGAGCTTAAATTTTTAAAACGCGTCCACTGCTATACCACTAACAGTTATTGGCACGTTCGTCCAACCCTTGGAACATACTACAGCCTCAGGTGGCGAAGAGCTGACATCGAGGTGCCAAACCTTCCTGTCGATGTGAGCTCTTGGGGAAGATCAGCCTATTATCCCTAGAGTAACTTTTATTTGTTGAGCGACGGTCTTACTACTCGGCACCGTCGGATCACTAAGGATGACTTTCGTCCCTGCTCGACGGGTGGGTCTTGCAGTCAAACTCCCTTTTGCCTTTGCACTCGAGGGCCAATCCTCATCTGGCCCGAGGAAACCTTTGCATGCCTCCGTTACCTTTTGGGAGGCCTACGCCCCATAGAAACTGTCTATCTGTCCTGGGTTCAAGCTTACTGCCAACCGATATTGTCTTTTTTTGTTTATCTCAAACCCACTGTCAAAGTTTCTACACCCTTGTAACAAGGTTTCGTTCCCCCTCCAACTAATATGGGAACTTCCATCAATACGAGCGGAAAAACCCGAATCGAACTGAACCAAACCAAACTGGGTAGAGCAAACCTAAGTGAGATTAGGGTCACCACCGATTAAGATGAGAATTGCGCCAAGGGAATGTGATTCCACAAGCACTAAGAGAAACCCCACCACAGCACCCAAGCCCAACTATGATAGCTTGCGACTCCAGAGCATGAACCAGAACCTAAGAAGGCCCCACAAACGACCGACAACCCGCACACAAGCAAACCATCTGCCTCGACCTGTCTCTACGCACCCAGCCAGCCCCACCATTGTTGTCTGCCTCCGACCACGCCGCATCACACCACAACCCCTCTAGCCGCACCACCGCACCACCGCACAACCTAAGCCAAACAGATCCGTGATTTTTTTTTTTTTTTTTTTTTACCTATTTTATAAATTCTAAAATTAAAAAAATTGCATTATTGTTAGTTTTATTGAAAATAAATTCTAAATTTTTGTTTGAATGAATAATTTTCAATTAAATTTAATTATATTAAAGATTTATAACTATATCTTTGTTTATTTTTTATAATTTAAAATGAATTATTAATAATCAATTATTATTAACGTTGGTGGTAAAACCGATATATATATATATATTAAAAAACCATGTTTTTTTCTTTTTATTTATTTTGATTTTCTGTTCCATATGAAAATTAAAATAAAGAAATTCATCATTCTTTTAATTTAACCTTCCTATCAACATGTGTGGGAAAAAAGAAAAAAAAACATAATGAAAACATTGAATAATTTAATTAATGGTAAAGTTAATTATAAATTAATTGATAAAAATAAAAATAAAAATAAAAATAAAAATAATAAAAATAAAATAAATTCATATAAATTTATAGAATATATCCTATATATTTTCTAGAAATTGTGAAGATTTTTATTTCATAGATGGGATATAAGAAAAAGACAACATTTTAATCGAATTTTTCTTTTATTTATTTTTAATATTCCCATAAATAACATCCGTTCTTATTTCCCCCAATTTTTCAATAATTTTCAACAGTTCATTTAAATATAATCTCGGTTCATTCATATACTCATCCTTTACATAGGCGTCACTTACCCACTAATTTCCGCCTTAATTTATCTCTGAATCACATCTTACTCGGAGAGGCGTCGCTTTAATACCATTTGTAATGAATTCGGCAACGAATGATCCTAACATTTCTCTGCATCTCTGCAAACATAGTCACGTTACTCATATTCGCTTCTTACGAGTGAAAACGATCTCCACATATTGATACGAGTTATTTCATCATATTTTATCCTCATTCAAATCCAGCAACTCGATCAGATACTTCTCGATCAAGCAAGCTAATAAGCATTTTTTTTTTAAATGAAATTCCGAAAAGCACTTGCAATTATGTTATTGAAATGTAGATAATGGTTTGTCTTTTTCAAATGTTGTTCTATTTACAACAACAAAAGACATCATAGTATCAGATTCCACCAACTTTGTTTATAGCTAAGACAACCACCCATCCCCTCCCAATCATTTTCCCACTTTGATTCCCACAAATTAAACTTCATTAATTGTTCCAACTTTATTTCCTTCCATTTTTTTTTAAAAACTAATTGGGCTCTTCTACACCAAGATTTTAGCCCATCACTATTTGGGCTTTTCTAATAGCCCATTGGGCTTTTCTAACAACCAAGCTAGTAGCCCATCACTAATTGGGCCCTTTCTAATCACCAAGCTAGTAGCCCATCACTAATTGGGCCCTTTCCAATCACCAAGCTAATAGCCCATCACTAATTGGGCTCTTCTAACAATCAAGCTATTAGCCCATCACTAATTGGGCTTTTTCTTACAACCAAGCTAATAGCCCATCACTAATTGGGCTTTTTCTAACAACCAAGCTAATAGCCCATCACTGATTGGGCTCTTTCTAACAACCAAGATAATAGCCCATCACTGATTGGGCTCTTTCTAACAACCAAGATAATAGCCCATCACTGATTGGGCTCTTTCTAACAACCAAGATAATAGCCCATCACTAATTGGGCTCATTCTAACACCAAGATAATAGACCATCACTAATTGGGCTGTTTCTAATCACCAAGCTAATAGCCCATCACTAATTGGGCTATTTCTAATCACCGAGATAATAGCCCATCACTAATTGGGCTCTTCTTAACCATCGAGCTAATAGCCCATCCTAATTGGGCTGTTTCTAATACCAAGTGAATATCCCATTACTAATTGGGCTCTTTCTAACCAGAAGCCAATAGCCCATCATTTATTGGGCTTAACAACCAAGTTAATAGCCCATTGGGCTTTTTCTAAACACCAAGCTAATAGCCTGTCCCTAATTGGGCCTCTTGCAGGAGCCCATAATTCCAAAATTGAGAATATTTTTAATACATTATCTTGTCAGTCTTGCATTAATTAATAGAATTATTGATTCAAAATCAGAATTAATCCATTAATGGCTTTTCTTTGATCTCACTTTATTAATACAATAATTGTAACAAAGTCAATAATCAAGCTTCATAATTGCTCCAATAATCAAATTATTATTATTTTTGTAAAGAAGGTCAAAACAAACAAAAAGGATGAATGACAATTAAGACGTCTATTATCTTAATAATTGTAGAAATATTTATTAAAATATTCATTCTTATCTATAATTATACTCGACAAAGACTCACCCAATTCAACTATTCATAGACTCGTTGAAAAATACATTAGACAAGTGCAATAGGATGACTTGGAGATTCTTTCTGGGCCTCGTGAGCCAAATCTCTATCTCGCTACTAACGAGAGGTCTCGATTGGTTTCCCTTCATTTAGAGCTATACGTGCAGTTTGCTAAACTTGAAGAAGTCTAAAGAGTATAGATTAGCTACATAGCTTGGATACTATTTTTGTTCGAATATCTAAGGATCATAATAGATAGTATGTTGGCTCATTATATTCTATATATTAAAAAAAAACTAAATCGATAATAGCAGTGTTATCAAT